CCCCCCACACTCCTCCCCCCGCAGGATCACTCAGCCTCTTCCCAACATCCCCATCAGTATCGTCTCCCATCTTAAGATGCACTTTCACCCTCCGCTGTTTCCCATAACTCCCCCCTCCTCCTCCTCCTCTTCCTCGCTCCTCTCCATCCGTCTCCTCTTCGATTTCCCCGGTGGACTCTTACAGTAAATTTAAATGCGGTGCCTTCCTTTTTAAATGGATGCTGTGCAGGACGGGGTGGGGTGAGGTGGGGTGGGGGTGGAGAATAAAGAGAACAGAGGAGGAAGAGGAGGAGGAGAGGGGTGAATTTCATTATCACACATATCAGAGAAAAAAGCTTTTTATACCTCCGGCTGTAAAATCAGAGGCCCGAACAAACACAAAGACCAACCAGCTAAAGAGTCTTAGATTAAATTTAGGCTTTTATTTTATTTTTTTAATCTGTACATTTAATTCCTGTTAAAATGTTTTTTATCGCTGAGTTACCTTGACTTCTTTTCAAACCGCCGTTCAAAACAAACATCTCTGATGTGATGAAAATAAAAGATAAAAACTTCAAAAAGAGTCAAATATTTGACCTCTGAGCTGTCATTACGCTGACCCACCAGGATTTTTGCATGGTTTTGTTTGTTTTATTCGAAGTGAGGATTTTAACAAGATTAAAAACATTTTTTTGTTTTTAGGAAATTTAATTTACATGTGAAATTTTGAAGGCTGAGAGGCCAAATTGTTAAGACGCTCTAATTTCTTCCACCTTAATCAGTGATTCATTCAAACTTCCAAGTCGAACTAATATTGTTTGTTTGTTTGCTGAACTACCAGACCTCTGCCATTTGGCAATTATACCTTTGGTCAGTTATTTTGAAAGAAATTGTTTTACGTCAACCTCTGGGTTTGAAAATGAAACAAAATGATTGAGATATTTACAGAAAAAAATACGTTTTTGTTTAGAGTAACATAAAATATGACTTGTAGATTGATGTGCTAAATATGAAAAATCTAAATAAATGGATTCAAACTGGCACAGAAGCTAAAAAAACGCCAAAAAAATTAAATGGGATTAGAATATACTTAAAGAGACAAAAAACAAGGATTAAACACAGACAACAGGAAGCAAAAATATGGATTTTAAAAATGAAGTTAAACCCGACTAAAGTTCTGTGCAGTAAATGAAGGACAAGTCAAACAAAATAAACCTAAAGGAGAAGCAAAAACAACGGAAACAGATAAAAAAGGAACAATAAGGTCAAAATCAACACATTTGTAGCTCACCTGAGTGTAAAACCCAAGTTAAAAGTTTCCACTAAAATGTAATTATTCAGCTCTCTGTTCTTATATGCTAATTTTTTTTTTTACTAAATATCAAATTTAGATGTTATATGATAACTTTAAATCTTAAATGTTGTGGTTAAATATTAAAGTTTAAATTTAGGTATTTCAGAATAGAAGGCAGATTTTGCTGTTGGTGAGCAGCTTTTGTTGTGATGTCATCATCCTGCAACAAAAGCAACCGCTAACACTTCTAGTACTGTTAACTCTGCTAACACTGCTAGCACTGCTAACACTGTTAACACTGCTAACACTGCTAGCACTGCTAACACTGTTAATACTGCTAACACTGCTAGCACTGCTAGTACTGCTAACACTGTTAACACTGCTAGTACTGTTAACACTGCTAGTACTGTTAACACTGCTAGTACTGTTAACACTGCTAGCACTGCTAACACTTAACACTGCTAGTACTGCTAACACTGTTAGCACTGTTAACACTGCTAACATTGCTAGTACTGTTAACACTGCTAACACTGCTAGTACTGCTAACACTGTTAACACTGCTAGCACTGCTAGCACTGCTAGTACTGCTAATACTGTTAACACTGCTAACACTGCTAGTACTGCTAACACTGTTAACACTGCTAACACTTCTAGCACTGCTAACACTTTTAACACTGCTAGCACTGCTAGTACTGCTAACACTGTTAACACTGCTAGTACTGTTAACACTGCTAGCACTGCTAACTCTTAACACTGCTAGTACTGCTAACACTGTTAGCACTGTTAACACTGCTAGCAATGCTAACACTGCTAACACTGCTGAATGTGGCATTTAAAGCCTAAATTCAAAACACTCAAAGTTTTCATTGAAAACAACATGGATGATACCTACTGAAAGCTTGATATCTTGTAGAAAAGTGTTAGCAACATTAGCAGTGTTAGCAACATTATCAGGGTTAGCAGCATTAGCATTGTTAGCAACATTAGCAGGGTTAGCAGCGTTAGCAACATTAGCATTTGCTGTTGTCGCAGGATGGCATCCTAGCAAAAGCTTCACCAAAGGCAAAGACTGTGTTTCATCGCAAATTTCTTTAATATTTATGTTCAACATTAAATTTAGGATTTAGTATCAAGACAAAACTTTTAACATTTAAATTGAACATTTAGTAAAATTTTGCCGAGCTAAGAATAAAACATTAGTGGAATTTTTTTAGACTAGGGTTTTACTCTCATAAAGTGAACTAAATAATGAAAATTAAACAATTTTCTTCTTTTTTTTTAATTCTGTCATTATTGCTACAATTGATAATATCACAATTTACTGTCTTGTGGATTTGATGTTTGTATCTGCTGCTACTGTTACACCTGAATTTCCCCACTGCGGGACAATAAAGGCTGTTTCTATTCTATTCTATTCTATTCTACACCTGGAGCTCCGTACAGTGGTGCTCGAGGTCTCAGTCTGAACCAGGTCCTTTCTGTGGTTTTATTTCTTACTTCTTGTTGGTGTTTTTGGTGTTTCTGTCCACCAGCTGCCGATTTAAAAAACAAAAACAAAACAAAAAAAAAACAAAAAACACAAAGCCGGTCTGCTCTGCTTCCTTCATGGACACCTTTAACACAATGATATCCTGAGCTTTCTCTCCACCAAATCATAAAACGGAGGATAAAAACACACGAGTGGACGAACTTTGAGGACAAGGCTGAGTTTCCTTGGAGGTCAGGAAGGCGGTTAATTAATGCTTTGTGAAATTATAAAAGCAGGGAAAGACGTTTTTCCTTCTCTTTCATGTTAATAATCATCACACCTGGTGGCAAATGTTTCCTTCACAAACATCCCGAGGCCCGACAACAACAGGAGAAGTCATTTACCTGGAAGGTAATGATGTTGGAACGAGTCGCTAAGAAGAAATGTTCCCGGAACAGAATCGACCACTTACACTTATCCACAACCAGCCTTTTAATAAAACAACGCCTCCAAAGTGATTTAGATCTGGATCTGTTCCTCCCTGCAGCTTCTAGTTGCCGCTGATTGTGTTTACA